TACATGAGGTAGAACATTGGACTGATGGGGAAGTGCTTTCTGCTTGGTAAATATCCAGCTTTCTTCCAACTTCATCTTGGGGCGAGGAATAGGTTTGTGAAAGTACTTAGGAGGCATTTATTTTAAAATGGCAAGTATTTACGATTTTCATATCAACATAAAATCAAAATGATTTCCTTCAACTCAAACAGCAGTTTAGCCATAGTATAAAGAAGAGGAGATATGCAAATGTCTGGATCTGGATATCCTGAAGTCTGATCTACTGTACTGCCCTGTGTCTATTACTTTTGCTCTCCATGAGCTCTTTCCCCCATTTCAGCTAACCATTGTGGTAAGTTTGAGAAATGCTGCTGACCTTTAAGTTTCAGGAAAATGTTTTAAATTTACCTGTTATTGCATATCCATATGAATGGTCCAGTGGTAAAACAACACAAACAAACACAAACAAACAGAAAACCAAAGAAACACCCAACACTGGTTATTTTTGCCCTTTAATTCCCCATAATGCAGGAGAAAGGAGTAGGGGGTGGAAGGAAATCAATTGTAACTTATCCCTTGTCGAAGATCAGCAAACTCTGTGTCACAAAACCAATGTGAAGAAATGGAGTATGGATTTTCTGCTGACATTTGTAAAGTGTTTGTGTCAAAGTATTTTTCTAATATAGCAAAGGTTACAGTTTAACAAATTAAAGCACATGTTTCTTTTGAACTGACATGCTGGTCATTTGGGTTAATTTAAATGGCGTGTGTTTTTCTAATAAACTCTTAACCTAACCTTCTCTGATCATGGCCGCTCTTTGCATTATTCAGGCAGAAGTAATTGCTTTTTTCATCAAAAATGAGCTCAATGGAGATACTGTAATAGCCTAATTTTTTTAACCTATTATTTTTATCTGGTAAAATTAGTGAACATACCCTATTAACAATGTAATACAAATCACTGTCCGTATGTACCAGTAATAGCTTTTATCTCCATTTGGGCCGAAGGCCTCTAGGCAGTGGTGGAATGTTCACTATTACATTTTGCAAATTATTTGAGTTCTCTTCCTCCAGCAGCATTAAAGGGACTTGTTTCTTCATAGCTCTGTGACTCTGCCCCATTTTACCAGCACAGATTAGTTTGCTAAAGTATTTGTCATCCACTCTGACCAACTTCATCTCCTGTGTATCTTTGTCTCTTGTTTTTAAGACCTGCTTTTCCCCTTCAACTTTTTGTATTCACCATACAGTAACCTTAACATTACTGCTCATTTGTGATATTTTTCAAACAACCAAGTGATCACTGATAAGCTGCCTTCACACGTTACTGCTGCAGATATTAATATTCTGCAGTTGGAAGTGACTGGATGCATGAAAACTGGCTCCTTTTGGAAATGAATCATTGTCCAAGCCCATAAAAATATTGTTCAAATTTTACTGGCAGAACTTTTCAAAATAAAACTGAAACATCAAATGTACATCAAACATATCCAGACAATATATTGTGCTGACTGGCACAGCTCAGCATCTTAGAAAATAAGAAATAATTCAAACAAACCTATAAGCGAAGCACTCTCTCTCCCTCTCCAGTCTGTATACCAACCTCATTGGCCTTAGGCTGTTTACTCTCCCTTCAGGACAGCTTCATTTACATCTTCAATCCATGGAGTTTGGGAGACAAAGAATCAAAGTCAACTCCCTTCAAAATAGAGATTTGGAACCCAATACCTTCATCACATAATCTAAGGTCACAACACTCACCTGTTAGCTACCAGCAATCAGTTAATTAATCATTAACTCAGCAAGAGCTCAGAGTCTTAGAAAAACTACTGTGGAAGAACCCCAATGTTTGCAACACACATTTAGCCTCCCCCCCCCCCCTCATTTTGAACCTTCATTAATACATATACATTTTTTCATTTCTGTGTGAATAAAATCAATTATAGTTAACGGGAAGATGGTGAGCATACTTACAGGTGCCATGTGGCTAGCCTTGGTCCCAAAGTTACCTCACTAACCTTGTTCCACTATCGCCATGTTCACTGTAGCTTCTGCAGTGGGAAGACTTGCACCAAGTGTGGGTGTTCAAACAACTAGTTAATCACTGATAAGCCCTCTCCACATATTACCCACATAAAGACGTAAGCTGGATGTGTTTCACCTTGGTCCCAGCCTATGTGTGAAGGCTCTCCTTCTCAGGGGTGCCAACTATAGGGGGCATAAGGGGCTTCGGCCCCCTCAATATTTGTGGGGAGGGAGCTGAGCCCCCTCAATATTGAGTGGGCCACCATCCCCCACCACTGCCGGGTGAGTGCTGGCATGCTGGGTGGGAGCAAGACATGTCACATGATGCCGGGCCAGCTCAATGTGGGAGGTAAGTTGGTGCCCCTACTCCTTCTGATGCAGAACCATGAGTGATAAGGATTGTACATTACAGGAGCAACCTCCATGTGTAGAAAAGGTTTGTTGTTGTGGATGTAATGGCAATCAATCACAGTGATGGACCTCTTTGACTGGGGTCCATGCATAGCCTTGAACCCTTGTCACCACACTCACCCTTTTCATATGTGTAACAAACACAGCACTAGTTTTTTACTTATGTCACAAAACACGTACAGTGGTACCTCTGGTTACGTACTTAATTCATTCCGGATGTCCGTTCTTAACCTGAAACTGTTCTTAACCTGAGACACCACTTTAGCTAATGGGGCCTCCCACTGCCGCCGCGCCACTGGAGCACGATTTCTGTTCTCATCCTGAAGCAAAGTTCTTAACCTGAGGTACTATTTCTGGGTTAGCGGAGTCTGTAACCTGATGCGTATGTAACCTGAAGCATATGTAACCCGAGGTGTTGTTGTTTAGTCGTTTAGTCATGTCCGACTCTTTGTGATCCCATGGACCAGAGCACACCAGGCACCCGTCTTCCACTGTCTCCCGCAGTTTGGTCAAACTCATGTTCGTAGCTTCGAGAACACTGTCCAACCATCTCATCCTCTGTCGTCCCCTTCTCCTTGTGCCCTCAACCTGTCCCAACATCAGGGTCTTTTCCAGGGAGTCTTCTCTTCTCATGAGGTGGCCAAAGTATTGGAGCCTCAGCTTCACGATCTGTCCTTCCAGTGAGCACTCAGGGCTGATTTCCTTCAGAATGGATAGGTTTGATCTTCTTGCAGTCCTTGGGACTCTCAAGAGTCTCCTCCAGCACCATAATTCAAAAGCATCAATTCTTTGGTGATCAGCCTTCTTTATGGTCCAGCTCTCACTTCCATACATCACTACTGGAAAAACCATAGCTTTAACTATACGGACCTTTGTTGACAAGGTGATGTCTCTGCTTTTTAAGATGCTGTCTAGGTTTGTCATTGCTTTTCTCCCAAGAAGCAAGCGTCTTTACCACTGTATTAAAACACTGTTTTGTCTCAGTGCCCCACCACATCCCTTGCCTCTCATTATCGATATTGCTGGGCGTACTGGGAGAATTGAGGTTGGTGGGGTTGTTGCCCCAGTGAAAGCTCAGCAGCAGGAATGCCATCTTGGCTTGATCACTGCTTTCACACTGTGGAGGCCCTGTTTTTCACTCACAGAAACAGACAAATCATGGCATTATGGTCAATTTTGTTTAATTATGGATGCATGTTCTTTCTCATGCATAGGCAATGTTACCACTTTGCCTTTATCTGATGGGTCCCGGTAATCCTGTTGGAATCAATGACACCATTATTTTTTGGAGGAAACATCTGTGATATCAGATGGTTCATTCTATATATTGTAGTTGGGTTCCACATTTTCCTGAACAGTTGCCTCCTCTTTCTTTTTTTCTGTGTTGAACTCTCCTTGTTCTTATGAATTCTTCTTCCTTGGTTATTGTGCTCTCCATAAATAGCCTTGCAGATCTAATTTGTGAGACAACACCTACGAAAGGAGAGAGGCGATAAGATGTATGTAAGCTATCATTGCAACAAATAGATTCTGGACAGGATGACATTGACCCTAATGCTATCCAAAGCAACTCTACAGGCAATGTTGATTTATAGCATTATCCTTGTGGATTTGCACAGAGTGCAAGAAATACAGAGAAACACAAGTTTCCTATTCCAGCAAGGCATATCCTTACATGGGTAAGGCATCTGTGTACACAGGTACATATGCATGTTCACTATCTGTTCCCTTGCCAATGGCAATATTAATCCCACATTTGTGTCACTTATTTTTTAACTACTTGAAGTTATGGCCTGAAGTCTCCATTCTCTGGGCTCATTTTAGCCCTCTTTGGGCATTCTTAGATACAGTCTATAGGAAGAAGCATAGGGGCACAGAGCAGAGAGTCTGATGGGAAGTTGTAAGCACATTCAGGGAAATGTGCTTTCAGTCCTTTTCATGACTGGAAACAACATGCATAAAAGAGAGGATTGTGAAGGCATTCAACCAGAGATGTCTCTTCAAATCTTCCTTCTCAGCAGCGGAGGAATCCCTTGTATGGGTGAAAGTATCTTCATGTGTTGACATGCAGCTAATTGAAAGTGGTTGAGCTATTCTATTGTTAGAGGTCCTAGCTGAAAATCAGTAAAGCATAAAGGGCAGGCATTTGCTGAAAACGCAGCATTTGAACAAATGCAAAGCTCAACTCATTTGCATTTTGTCGCACTGTGGAGATGCACTGTAACTCTTTGTGAAGTTCATTCGTATCAAGGAAAGGACAGAAGGCTGTGCCTGTGCTGATGCAATACCAAGACAATGTGTTGCTTGCCTCCGGGAAAGAATTAGCACATCCTATTGACCTGTTTGGCTGCTTGTAATTATACAGGGCAAAATGTGGCTTCCCTTTGTTCCCCTTGCGTGAATCACTGACTCAAAAACAAAACACATTTCAAGCAATGCAGAGCACCAGAACCCAATGTACAAAGCCAAATCATTTCTTGGCAACCATGCGAAGAATTCATATAGATGCTTGTTTTTTTAAATAAATAAATACATATTTTGTGATATTTGGATTCACATTCATATAAACAATGTCTTCAGTTTATCAGATGAAAGTTACTAACGGTCCCCTTAACTCCTGTATTGTTCACACTGAGTGCAGCTTTATATTATAAGCATTGCAATTATTGCTTCAAGGCTTCATAAACACACAGTGACAGAGAGACGGGCAGGGTGGCAGCAGGACAGAAAGTGACACTTTGGTACACCAGAGTGTGGACTGTCACCTTAGCAGATAAACAGACTTGTCAATTATAAGCAGGCAGGAAACACATGGACACCAATGTGTTTTATGATAGGAACGGGGAACTGGTGGACCTTCAGATGCTGTTGTACTACACTTTCCATCACCTGAGGCAGCTAATAGTCTTTTTTTTTTTTTAATGATATTTATTAAGAATTTTAAGATTACAGAAAAGTCAAAAAGAAAGGGGGGGAAAAGAAATAAGCAAGGAAAAAACAAACCACAATCAAACAATACAAGTCAATAAAAATTAAAAGCAAAAAACAAAAAACAAAACACATAACACATCAAAATCAAAAAACAAAAATAAACCACAAAAGTTTAAAAACAGATCCAATATTCCCAAATCCTTAACTGTCATTACCTTATTTCATCGACCTCCTCACCCCTCCCTTTTTTATATTCTAGTTATTGATTATCACAGCAAATCCTTCCCATTTTTTCATAATATTCTGTCATTAAATTACCTTAATCTATTTTAACCTTATCTTACTATAAAAAACCCTAAAACTTAAAGCTTGAGTCTTATCTATACCAATTTCTCATAACCATGACATATTCTTGCATAGTTCTTTTTAACATTTCTGCTAAAGCCAAATAATTTCATTTCAACATCTTTTTTAATACTCATTAATTTTAAAAAACATTCCTAAATAGAATTTTTGAAACTTTCTCCAATCTTCATCCAACGTCTCTTCCTCCTGGTCACGGGTTTTGTCAGTCCTTTCTATCCCATCCATCTAGTTCATTAACCTGGTAACCTTATGTCCGAGGCCCTTAAGTCTCTTCCATGTCCCTTCCGCAGATCTTCTTCATATTTATACCTGTACTTTACTTTGTCTCCTGCTCCTTTCACTCGTGGAGACTCCAGCTTGACAGTATTTTTATCCCTTCTCGACAGATCAGCCCCTTTTCCATAGTCCACACTGAACTCCATGTGGTATTTAAAGACATTTTTCAAGGTCCCTCCAAAATTGAGGACCCCCACAACTCCAGACTCCTCCCGACCCAACGCCAGACTTGAAAAGTCAAAACATCCCTGCATAGGGGGGTCTATCCAGCCCCCCATCTCCAAACCAAACAAGACTCTATCTCTCCAAATCTGGCTTTTTCCAGGTTCATTCGTCAGGTCCAACCACTCATGTTCGTGCTGGGCCACGGTTCCCTGCATCTCTGCCTCTCGGGGTCCAGCCACAACCTCCTCCTTCATCTGATCTGTCAGAGCACATTCCTGATTTGATTCCTGAGTGGGTTCTATATAGATACCCACTACCTGTCCAAAATTTCTGATCGCAACAGTCATCAAATCCGTCTTCTCATGTAACTGTTCCAATAAAGCACTTGTTTTACAGAAAGCACGCACCAGAGCCTCTGAGCACATTGTTATACAAGGTCAGAAGTCTATTCCCACGATCTTAATCTGTTGCAGCTGCTCCCCAGTTCAAGTTTAGTAACAGTTTCACAAGCTCCCTCTAGGGGAAGAACTTCTATTTGTATCCAACTCTTTTCTTTTTCTTTTTTTTTTAACAGCAGAACTAACAACAAAGTTTCCTTTTTCAGATATTTTGTCAATATTTGTTCCTTTAAATTGCGAAAGAGCACAATGGAATCACTATGTTTCTCTTCTTTTAACTGTCTGTCAAAAACATTTGTCTATAGTCAATGAACTTTCCCAAAAACGTCTGTCCTGACACCCCGCTCCCAGGTTCAAGACGGTGGAAAATTACTTTTCTTACACTCTCTTCTGCAGGTTTAAGCAATCCAGAAAAAATCCCCCCTCTTCTCCTGCTTCCGAAGGGGGTTCAGTAATTTTAGATGATGGAAGTTGATCCTTTACAAACGATTTTCTACACTCTAGTTTGCCATGTCTTTGCTTTATTCTATCTACAAGAAACGGAAGGCTGACTTCCTGTTTAGACCTTCCCGCTTCAGTGCCAAATTAAGAGGAATTTCTTAATCCAATTTTCCGTTCTACTCACAGATCGTTGTTTAAAGTCCAATTGTCCAGATTTGATCTGCTCACGGGTAGTTGTTTTGTAGCCAAATTGTCCCAAGAAAAAGGTAGCGCTCTCCGGCAACGGCTGTGTGGCTTCACTCCACGGAAGAAGCAGTTGACTCTCAGCACCGCGCCACTAACCCCTCTTCGCTCCGGAGCCCGTAATTGGGTTCCTTTACGAATTGGGGGGGGCGCAAAAGGTGCCCGCCAAGTCCCATGGTCACAGGCTTCATCCGCCTGTGATTTTTTAGAGGGTCCCCGCTTCACCGTAGCGGAACAGACCCGTTTCCTGTGGAGCCAGTCCCTCCGGATCAGAGGGAATCCGCCATTACCGATGGTGCCACCCCGGAAGTCTGAGGCAGCTAATAGTCAATGGTCAGGGATGAGTTGTAGTCAGCAACATCTGGAGGGCCCAATCCCTCATCCTTGTTTTATGAGGTATAGTGTGACATAGTTTTAGGCATATGTTCATAATGGAGACCATGGATACATGGATGCATTTAAGGACTGTCTCATATAAGGAATATAAGCTTACTTTCTGTTGCATCGCTCTGCCTTCAACAAAGCCCTATGACCCAAGTTGCTTTTCTTATTATTTAATTTGTATAGCTTTTAAGCTTTGTATATCTAAAACAAAAAGGTGGAATTAGTAAATGTATAGTTCCGAATTATCTATCCATTTACAGATATTAAGAATGAAATTGGATATCTGAATGTGGATCTTTATGTAGTAAAACAGGCACACCCATGAACAAGAGAAAAGTTTCAGTATGCTTTGGGGAATCACAAAGTTCAAATATTTGGGTAAAGGGGACTTGGGCTCTCACCTGCCTGCCACCTATCCATTCTCAAATTTGCCTACCAGTAATGGTAGACCATCACCTGGGCTTCAGGATAAAGAGCACATGAACTAATCTGTAACAGAATAGAAACAGAGTTGAATGTGTCGAAATATAGCTTTTCAAAGCTATTAGGCCTGGGGTGAGTTTCAATCTAGTGCTGCCTATAAAATGTGGTCCATTCGCTGCACATAATGACCACAATGTGCTTCCATAAAACATCTCTATCTTCAGAAGCCATCTAACATAGAAAGTGATCAGGAAACCTATGGGATAAAGGTTGCCAACAATAACGGCTAAATTCGATCATTCAAAAGTAAATTACTAAGTATAATGAGAAGACATAGAATTAATTTGCATTAACCATAAAACAAGACTGGACATCATCCAGAATTCAGATTTATTAACATTCAGAAATGCTGTCAGAGCTCATGTGTACATGGGACATTAGTCATGCATTTTGTTAATGTAACATAATATGGGACATAATTTATCAGGACATCAAAATAATAGCTTTTACTCCATTTCCCCATCTCAATGAGGACATGCACAATAGACTCGGAAGCTATACATGCACTCTATTAGAGCTAATTGAAAATAGATGATACAATTAACCTGCTTCTTAGTAAAAAGCATTAACACTTAATGTAAAATTCTAATCACAATAAAAAGAGGTTAGCACAGGAAGGAAATGTGGTGTATAATTCAAAATTATACTCTTCGCTTTCTCACAAACATTTTTGAAAAGTTGCAAAGTATAAGTATACTCTAATAAAAAATACCAGGAACTATCTTTAAGCTCTCCCCTCCTCCCCCACACACCCAAGGCTTTTGATTTTCCAAGGAATGTGACATTTCAGTCACTTCCAGAATGATTAAGTACACAGGCTCATGGCATTTAGGCACAACATAACAGAAGTGAACAGGTGGCAATGGTACGAATGAGTTGTAAAGGCAATCCATTTACAATGCATACTGTGATGTTATGAAAATTGGAGCTGAAACCTGTGTAGGAATGCATACTAATGAGACCGTCAAACTATCTACTCACTGGTGGAATCCATTACAAATTGAGACTGTTGATTATGATTATCTTTTAATTCAGTCATCTGTCAACAAAAGACCCAGGTCAGTCATTATCTATGGAATCAAGTTATATCTATTATCAGGTTGTCACCTAAAAAAATCTCTGCAGTTTCATTTGCAGCCTCCCCCCAGTTCCCAAACTGGAAATAAACTTTCCACAGGAGGATGCTTTCAATTTTTGATACAAAATTAAAATGACAGTTCATTTTTACCCTTGTAAAATTTTCAGGACAAAAAGCAGTGTTACTGGAGACAGATCTGCCTCCAGCATTGTTCAGTTTGTAAGTCATAGATGTGATTGTCCCATTACACCAAATAACCAACCAGATTTCAGACACAGAGACATTGCTAACAACAAACAAAGCCACACTGTGCTCACTTTGAATGGACGCCAGGAAGGAGGTTCCCCTTGTCAGAAATCGCTGTCTTGACCCCTGCATTTCATTCAGTTTAAACTACCACAATGTCACACTGGGAGTGTGAGCCCAGTTGTCATTGCAATAGAAACACGCCATCATTTCCTTCCCTTGGTGCCTGTCCTTATACAATAGATGGGTCTTTCAAGAGCCCATGATAAATTTCTGGATGTAAGGCAGGTGTTTCAGGGAGCAAAAGTGGTTACGAAAAGTGCCGCCCCTGTTTGGACTCAACCACATCAGAATGACGCTTTAATGATTGTGAAGTATTTTATAATCTCTGCAATTTTTATACTTAAGAGTGAAGTAAGCATGTCATAGGGCTGCATGTGTAACCTCCATTATCATCCCATCAACCTCGTCGTGTGGAATGAATTTCTATATTCATGAAAGCTCCCTGCATGTATTTGAACCCAGGGCTCTTAAAAGAATGGTGAGCCTCCATGTGTACATGTGACCTTCTACGTCAATAGTTTCCCCTCCAGATGTTGGAAGGTGATGGTGGAAGCAGACCTATCATACTTGGTGGGCGAGAGACACCTCCATAACAGGTAGCAGATGTTCATCCTCAATTTACAGCCTTCTTATACACTGACAGATTTAGGGTCTAGGAACCCACCTAAGCAGACAATATGAGCTTCAGGGCCACCATTAGAGGAATCTGCAGGCTCTTCAAAACAAAGCTGTCATGCCTCAGTGCCATATGAATACTGGCTGCTAGATTTTAATTTGAAAAAGAAGATCACAGTCTTTGGTGCAAAGGGTTCCTAGGCAACTATTACCAGCATCCTCCCACTCCTCAATGTCAAGTAAACAAATATCAATAGAATTTTTATTTTTCACATGTTATGGTCAAGGCAGATTACGTCAGAACTGTGGAAATACTTTTGAAAAAATCTACATAGTATATTAATCCATGACACAAATCTTTAATAATAAGGCAACACATGAAAAAGTATTGAGCCATAGCTCAGTGGTAGAGCATCTGCTTTGCAAGCAGAAGGTTCCAGGTTCAATCCCCGGCATCTCCAGGTAGGGTTGGCAGGAACTCCTCCCTGAAATCCTTGAGGGCCTCTGCCATTCAATGTAAATAATCTTGAGCTAGAAGATGGACCAGTGGTTTGACTCAGTATATGTCAGGAACTGGAGTCAAGCATAGATCAGCAATCAAAGCAAAACACAGTGTCAATGAAGTTAACCCTTTATTCAAGAAACCAAAACAGTGCAGACCTAATGATCCCAACAGCTCTCTCAACAGTAGGTCTTGTTCCAACAAGGCAGTTGCAAGGGGTGAAGATCCTTGTCTTCCCATCACTACCTAAGGTTCCTCCACTCCACAATCTTTCCCCAATAGTCACAAACTGTGCTTGCTTACAACTCCCCTCTGCTCTCTTCATTTCTCTCTGTGTTCTAGGAGACCAGGGGAGAGGGGAGCTGGTCACAGTAGGAGGGGAAGACTCCCTGGCTTCTTCATCAGTCTGCCTCTCTGTCTCCTGGCCCCACACCGCTCCAGCCTCCACTTCTGCCTCAGAGTCTGAACTTCCCTCTGCCACCACCTCTTCCTGCTCACTAAACCCTGTTACCCCTTCTGCTTCCAACACCTCCTCCTACCAGTCTGTTCCTTCTTCTCCCTCTGACCACTGTGTTGTCCCACTACCAATCCCCTGGCTCTGAGCCTTCTGGGGGTGCCGTTGGGGGTCCCCCAGCTCGTACTTCTCATCACTTCTCAATATCCAACCAGTCCAAGACAATATAAGGCAGCTTCTCATGTTCCTATGTCCATTAAAGAATCCATCAACATATAATTAAGCATCAAGAGCAATCAATGCAACCGTATCAGTCAATTAAAAACTACTAGATTTAAACAATATTTTAAACAACCCAACCATTAGAAACATAAAACAGAATGCATTTTTCTGCTGATACATGCTGATGATGATTTGCACATGATAAATCTCTGTACACTGCAAAAATACAGATGAAAGAAAAAAATGTGTGGGGAAATAAAGAAAGGCAAAGTGCTCTGGTGCTCTGGATGTTTTCCTTCCTTGTTCTGCATGAGTTATTTCCAAACCCATTTGCCCCTCTCTCTTTCTCACTCCTCATTTTACACTCGATAAGTGCAAAGATTACCATTCTCCCTAGTCCCCTGTCATTACCCTGTGTCCAGTTTCTGGCTAGCAGCACTGAAGGTCCAGAAGAACTTACAGCTGAATGTATTAACATCCATCCTCACCAGATGTTCAGGTGCTTCTCCTGCTGAGGTCAGAGCAAGGGAGGTCAGGGCAAGGATAAGGCAGTGAGTGAGCAATGGAAATGTCTGTCTGTCTCTCTTGTGTGTCGGATGTTCACAATGACTTATTGGCTTCTTTTACAAGGAAGCACTCCCCCCCCCCATGCAAAACAACACAGTCTTGGATCATACCTAAAACCCTTTTCTACCTTTCAGCTTTGCAAAATTCAATCATTAAAGTAACTTTGAGAATATCATTCTGCATCGGATGGCCCTAGTGATGAAGATTCTTTCTCTGGTGTTTCATCTGTCTTCTTTACTGCTTTTGAACTGCAAGAAGTAAGAAAACAAAGCATTTTTGGTAACCTAGCTCCAAAATGAGCAGGCATTGTTGCTCCTTTTACATTTTTGTTTTGTTTTGACTTCTACATGGTGGGGAGGGATGACAGAGTTAAGAAGCTTGTTCGGTTTCATATTTTGAGCTGTGGCTGGGGTAAGATCTCATATTGAGTTATTGGCATCCAAAAAAAGCTACTCCAGGTGGTCAAAATCCAGGAAAGTTAGTGCATGAAGGGGTTCAGACTATGGAGCTGTTTCTAGACTCAGCTATGTCATGCCCCCTCTTCTCCATGAGGAAGAAAGTGAAGCATCTTCTCTTCCTTTCTTTCACTCTCTTGGATGCCAATAACCCAACGGATGTCTCTGAACTTGGTCCAAGTTCTAACCGCATGTTTGAAACATTGTGTATTTTGCACCCAAGAGTAACCTACCTATATTCTCCTTGCTGCTGAATGAATGAACCAGAGTTTTGGATTTAGTCAGTAAAGCTTTTAAACTTACAAAAGAATGTGTGGTCTGTTCATTGCTAGAGGGGCAAAGAGAGGGGGACAAGAGCTTTAAAGCAGGCTAAATGAGATATACAAAACATTTTAACAACCTGTATTCCAGGCAATGCTGCTGGTTCACTCTGAGAGTATTTTTAACTCTGCTGGGGACTTTTTCTCGCTGGAGAGTGTACAAAGCCCAGTGTTTTGAATCTAGGTGCCTAGCCAATTCTTTTCGTTAATTACCCACACATGGGTCAGATCTATTTCCACCTCCACATTATTGAGTACAATTAGTGCTTAACAAACTAGTACATTTGGCATCTAATTGTTTCCAGGGTAAATAAACTGATCACAGAAACATATTACCTAATACAGGCTGCTGTGTTTTTCTTCACTTTGACTTTTGTTAATTTTGTGTAATTCTATATACATATATATGCATATATTTATAACTGTTTCATTTGGTGTTTGCATACTTCTACTGTTATTCCAATGTTGTGTTAGGCAGCTTTATAAATGCATAAATAAGGAGCAGATAGGTTGTTTTATGTCATCAACCTATATGCATATACAGTACTGTTATTTCTTAAACAGTGGTCAATGAAACAACTTCCTTTGGAATTGAACCATGAGCTTGCACTCTTTCATATACTGCTGAATAGGAACATAGAAATTTGGCTTACACTCATTTAGACCATTGGTCCATTTCTTCTTCTTCTTCTTCTTCTTCTTCTTCTTCTTCTTCTTCCACAGGAGTCCACATGTCTGTTCACTACCTTTATCATGGCACATGCATCATTGCCAACTAGCAAGGCTGATGGGAGGACCACTAGTCTTCCTGTTGAAATAGTACTGGAAAAAGCATAGAAATTGTCCTCACAGTTTCACTGAGCACAGGACACCTCAGCACAATAGAGCAGAAGACCCTCAGTTGTCCCTAAACAGATTCAAGCTGGATAGGAAGTTTGAGGATGACCATTTTGGCAGTGGGAAGCCAAAACACTCCAAGTACATCAACAGCAAACCTCCAAAATGAATCCAGGCCTTTCCTTCTGGCTCTAGAGAGGAAGAGTGAGGGTGGCTGTTTTGTGAAATTGATTCTTGCGTTTGAAGCACCTCAACAAAACAATTCCTTGCTCCCCATCTCTAGCTCCAAAGGTCTGGAGCTGATAAAGGTAGGAAGAGATTGTCCCTGAATTCCTGCAGCACTAGGTCAGGGCAGCAATCTTATGTAAATTCACTGGCAGTAAGCCCCATTGAACACAGTAGGCCTTTTTTCCTAGTGAATATGCATAGCATTGCACTGCAGAAGGTCTGGGCACCCACAAGTTTTGACATGGCTACCTAGGCTAGTCAACAATGGGTGAACCCTGTGTCTGCATATTTGTGTACGTTTTGCTAAGTGTAAATTGGGGGGGGGGGAATCAGTCATATGAGGCCATTTTGAGTCAAAGGCTGGTAGGAAAAAGGCCAGGCAGCCTTCCACACATGCTGATCCTCTGCTTAACCTCACAGCCACTTGCCATCACCTTTTGTTAAGCAAATATATATATCATGGGGAATAATGAATAATGAAACTACCCATAAAATGTAGCCTTTGCAATGTCAATTTACTGAGCAATTAGTAAAAAGAAATGGCAGACAATCCAGCAGTGCCGTTCCCAAAGCAAAATCAGTCCTAAGAACAGAGCAGCAGCTCAGGGTAGCTTCTGTCAACTAGCTCCAACATCTTTTGACTGCTTTTTTGTTTCTCCGGTCCAGTTCAAACTCTAAGGCAGAAAACTGGTCTCAGACATCAACTTGGAGGGACTTCTACAGCAGATACATGAAACAGCTGGTGATCAGCTTAATGAGCCACCGGCAAGCACTTTGAAATTGTCAAGCCACACCAAGTCCACTGACATGGGCACTTTGCATTTGACAGTGTGTGTCCAACGCGATCCAAGCCCTTTCTCTTTCCTGGTTTATAGCTTGCACTGTGCATTTTTAACACATGAATTATCCATTTGTAGTCAGACATCTTAATCTAATGTCTGCTAAAATGGCAGCACAGCACACTAGGAAATCCCCAGATTAAAACTGAGTTAGTTTTGTCGACCTCAGAGGGAACATTAACAAGGATGTGCTGTCTTTTTACACTGGGTTTTGGGCTGAACAGTGTTCCTTTTTCTAGTCTATCACCTATCATTCAGGTTAAGATTTGCATGCTTGGGAAAAGAATGGGCAGTCCAGTGTTTGCTTGCTCATCTCTAAAAACTGCAGTGTTCATAACAAAAGACAAGGACACTCTGGCTGTTAGCTCTGTGCACGGGCAAATACCTCTAGAAGTAAATAAAGTCTCCAGTGATGACAGATAGGCCTTTATTTTTATTTTTTTACCATGATAGATAGCCATTCTCTGAGTTTTCTATATATCCACTGCACAAATTCTATTTCATCAGTCCGATAAGGGAAAGTGATAGTAGATAGAAATCTGTGTCAACACAAAAGTAAATTAAAAATGTGGGCCTTTCATCTGATAGGATCTTTTATATACTGTAATTTCTTTGGCTAATGTTCTCTGTTTTACTTCAAAAGGTTATAGAAAAAGTGTGCATGATAGATTAGAAAGGAAACAAGCAAAGCTACTGGCAAGGATGCAGCATCTAGGGCGCCGATAAAGTGGTTGTCTCAGTAGGTATTATATAAACACAGCTTGTTGTCACTTTTAATAGAAGTCATATATATCTCTGGCTGCTGGACAAGGGTCCATGTTTTAAACAGTAAAAACAAAATATATTTAACAGGAGAAGACTGGGAGTGCCCACTTTTAATGAATAACAAAATGGCAAAGCATGACTGAATATTTCACATGTTGCATTCCAGTGGGAGTATGGATTAAATGAAGTATGACTGAAGAACAATTTTTTAAGACAGAATGAGAGAGAATGAGGGACGTATATTTAAGCTCAGGTGATAGAAATGTGGTGAC